AAAGCCAGTCGAATCTGACTCTAGGGTTGCGGTGCTTGCCTGGATGTCTACCCCGTTGATCAAGAGGACCCTATCTCCCACATGCAGGGTGCCGTCCCGATGTGCCACACCCCCTTCTGCGATCCGCGAAATGAAAATCCCCGAGTCCCCCTGCCCGTACGGCGTGGAGCTCTTGCCCCTCTGCAATGCTGAAGCTGAGCCCCCGTTCGTTTCACATCAGGCAAGCCGAGAGACGCTCTTTGGGGGCCGCTCCTTCGGGCCGCTCCGGGAAGTGCAGGGCTCCCCCTCGCCGCTCCTGAGGGCTGTAGTCATCTTCGGGCCGCAGGGGAGTCACTGTGATGGCATTCTCGGGCTCCACCATTCGCTCCTGCAGTACAGTCATGGAGACGGTACTGCCTACATGATGCTCAGCAGACTGCAGCGAGACGCCGTTCGGGGGGGGGGAGACAGGACACATCTCCAGGCTACCACCTGAAGGCCTCCACAGCACGCCTGCACCAGACTGGCCCCTGCGCTGGCACCTCGCAGGTGGGAAGCCAGAAAGGAGCACCTGTCCTCTGCGGGCCTCCAGCCCACACACCCCCACCGCATGGCAGCCTCCTCAGAAGCAGGTGTCACGCCAGAGGGGTTGAGGGGGGGAGAACGCCCTCTAAGGTCCAGGGATGGGGGGGCCCCGGACACAGAGCAGCGCAGAAGAGCACCGGAAGGGCAGGGCGAGAGCGGAGCCCTTCCCCTGGAGTTCGCTGCTTCTAGCCCAAGGAGGGCTTCAGAGAGCAGCACTTCCTGCCCGTCTGCCTGAGTCGCTTGCCCTCCCGCAGCCTTGAGACTTGCCACCGCCACTCGCCCGGCCCAGAGGTGGGCCCCATAGGCCACAGGGAGGGAGGGAGGGATCAAACTACACCCCCTTGATGGAGGGCTTTAAAAAAAAAAAACGCCAGGGCGAAGCTTCGCCCAAGCGCATATTGGCAACCTAAAAAAAAAATGGCGGGCGAAAATCGGAAGCCTCGGGCTTCCAAACAGAAGTGGCTCTACACCGGTGAGCGATCAGACGGGGGTAAACCGATTACAACCGTTGCACTCAGGATACCACCACTTGGGGACCTAGTGGCAGAATGCAACGGTGTAAAGCTCTTTACAACGGTTAGGGACGGAAGGCAGATGTTCTATGTGTGAACGCCAGTACACTGATTCCAACCGGCACCTATACCATGGTAAATGCCCCATCTGAATGCACCCTCAGGAAACTCACAAGTACTTGTCGGGATCATCTCATTATCCCCTACCCCAGCTCACATAGCCTTTTCCTGCTTCCTTCTGTTCTTCCTACCCATCAGCCAACATACCAATCTGCTTCCTGTTTCCAGCTTTCCCTCTTCTCCCTGCCCCCAGCAGCATCTTCTTGGCTGAGTTGTTTGCTGGCTACTGCCACTGGTGCCAGGCTGGAAACCGTTGTATGGTGGCTGCTCCCAGTGCCAGACTGGGCCAGGCCCAGTTGCTTGGTGGCCACTATCAGCACTAGTCTAGAATTAGTCAGGGGCCACCATTGGGCCCAGTGGCATGATGGCTACCACCATCAGGCGAGCCCAAATGTTTGGTGGCTGCTGCTGGGCCAGGCCAAGTGGTGTGGATAGTGAGGTGGTTCCTGATGGGCCGGTCCCTGGTGAGTCTTCTCCATCAAGTGACATGATGGGTGGGGGGAAAGGGCCCTTTCCAGAGCTAGGGCTGCCAATTCCTGGAGATTTGGGGGCAATGCCTAGGAAGAGTAGAATTTGGGAAGGGGGGGACTAAACAGGCATGTGATTCCATAGAATTTGCCTTTTCCTTCAGGGGAACTTTTGTCTATGGTCAGGAAATCAGCTGTCATTCTGGGAGAACTCCATGCCCCAACTAGAGATTGGCAACCATATCCAGGTCTGTTTTGGCCTTTAAGCCCCCCCCCGCTCTCCCCCCTCATGGCCTTGCTTTACAGAAAACAAGGCTTAGAAGGCCCGGCAGTATTGTTACTATTACCTAGCAACCCCCAAATTGGTGTCTGAGAGCTCAGTGGGCATTCTGTCCTTAAAACTACTGATGTTGTTTCTATTATTTGGAGCGGTTTTAATCTCCTGATACATTTTAAAAAATATATCAGATTTTCTGCAAACTTGTGGCTTCCTTAAGGTTTGTAGGAAAATCTCCACTATCTGTTCATTTTGTGGATCTATTAATCCACACTCTATCGCCTTGTTTGTAATTAGATATATGATAGCAATATATCTCTTAGGTTCTTTGAAGCCCCAGCTTTATTTATTTTTTAAGTATCTATCCTTGTCATTATGGAGATCAGGGGTCATTTCGTAGAAAAAGAGCTAGGGGGACTCATTAGCATAACTCATTAGCATATGCCACACCCCCTGACATCACCGGAAGTGTGGCCTCCCCACAGCCGGCGGCGACCTCCAGCGGGCACCAGCAGGGAGCTCCAGGCCTCGCCCTCCCGCACCTCACCCGGGGGGATGGCGTCCCCCCACGTCCCCCCCCAATGACCCCTGATGGAGATATACGTTTCCCCTTATATATGAACTGTACCATGTGGCTCTGATGGGTGTGCATTTTCATTCTGAAAGAATACATGCACCAAAAAGAGAATGTTTCTCCTACTCGGTATGTGCTTTGTCCAAAGAAGTAGCTGTAAAAGAACATAAGGTTAGCTAGTGGCTACTTACATCCACAGTAGACATGGTAGCAGACACTGGGCTTTGTAAGGCGATAGATGTAATAGCCTTCCGGGCATGCTTTGACATCAATTGTGGTGTTCCAAAAGCAGCAGTTCCCATTGAAGGTGGCACATCCTTGTCTTTGAACAATGCCATCTGATTCTTGAGGGTGGCTGCCATTCAGCCAGATTGGGGCATGGGTACCACAGTGGTTCTCTGGGATGCAAAAGGTGGGCATAGCATCACCAGCCATCCCGGTAAAGCGGTACCATTCCCCATCAACAGCACTGTCACACTCCGGTTGGTCGAAAGAACTATTGAACTGGTGCTCTGTGTTCCTCCATGGTTCATTCAGGGTGAGGTAGGCAGAGCAAGGGTCAAGAGCTGAAACACAGAAAGGAGAGAGAACCTACTGGAGTCAAGGCATCTCAACGGTGCCGCCATAACACCAAAGTGGTATATTGGTTTAGCGCTATAGCACTCAACTTAGAACATTAAAAAAAGTCAGAGGAAGATCACACAGCTAAAAAGGGCGGAAGCAGGAAAAGCAGCATTGTAGGAAGCACTATTAACATTTTAAACAGCACACCACAGTGATTCAGAAGTGTAACGAAGGGGTAGAAAATGGAAGAAAGCAGTTTCCCTCAAAAGTGGCTCAACCATGCTTTGCTAACCCAACACAAGCGGGTTTGTATGAACAGGTAAGGAAATTCTGCTAGCAGCCGGTTACTAAAACGGGTCTGTCTGAAATGACAAAAAAAAAAACCCATTAGCAACCAGTTACTAAAATGGAATACAAAGGTAGTTTGAAAAGGGGCGTAGACTTTCCAATTTCCGGGAGGGGGGGGCTGGGCCAGGGCCAGAGGCATTGCTATGCCAGGTCCTTAAAAGAACCGAGGCCCAGTGACATCATAGGGAGGAGCTAGTGACATCATAGGCCATTGTCACTATCTATGGAAGTGGAACCATATGGGATTTAGGAAAGGACTCCCCAGAAATTTAGGGGGACCTGGGAACCCTTGGGAACCCCCCTAGCCATGCCTCTGGGCTGGGCTAAACTCAGGAAAAGGTGGGAGTTGGCCAGTGGCTATAGCGGTATCTCAGTGGTCTCCTGCTGTGTCCTTTATTTAAATTCATTTTCAGAATAGTAATAATAATATACTTTATTGTCATTGTACACAGTACAACAAAATTAAAGGTGCAATCATTTCTTTAATATCTGCAGGTATACATACCATGTGCATAAGACAAACAAATGGTCACAAATTTGAAAGTAAGGAGGGCAACACAGAAAAGTCCATAGGGGTAGTTAGCTGTTGTAGATTTTCCGGGCTGTATGGCCGTGGTCTTGGCATTGTAGGACCTGATGTTTCGCCAGCAGCTGTGACTGGCATCCTCAGAGGTATAACACGGTACTCTTTGTGTCAAGGTGAGAAGGTGTGTCAAGGCCTTCTTTTCTTCTTCTCACCTTGACACAGAGAGTACTCCATCCTTCGGTGTTATACCTCTGAGGATGCCAGTCGCAGCTGCTGGTGAAACATCAGGTCCTACAATGCCAAGACCAAGGCCATACAGCCATATGGCCCAGAAAATTCACAACTAATAAAGCACATATTCTATTGCTAGGGATCATCATTCCACTCCGGGGACTGCCATTCCAGTACCGGAGCACAGATACTCTTCCTAGGGACTGTCTTTCCACTCTGGGGGCTGTTAGTCTAGTCCCGGAGCACAGATTCTATTCCTAGGGACTGTCTTTCCACTTTGGGGGCTGTCATTCCAGTCCCAGAATAGCCTAACTTGGCCCAAGGACCTTAATGGAGAAACCATTCCACATTTTCTTTGCAACTTTTTTTGTGCTGCAATGTATTTCAGTGGAGCCCGTGCAAATCACTTGGCATTCC